AAAACAGTCTTATCCAAAAAATTGCCTAAACTAACGTTTAAATAGCCTAACTCAATTTTTTCAACATTAAAAACCCTCCCAAAAAATGTATGATGCGTTCTCCCACTACTTTAACCCACTGAGACCAAAAATGTTTAGTTCTATCCGAGCAAAGCTTGGTCTCCTGGCACTGTTTTAAAAATTTAATTATTAGTTATCAACTTAGGCTATTCAAACAGAAACAAAATATATTTTATGAAAGTTAACAAAGAAAACAATAAAGCTTATGAATATAATTACCGCATATGGTAAGAAAATTTGTAGTTCCTTCCAGTTTTAGCTGTTCAAATTTTAAATTAAACTAAGGATAAAATAAAGAAACAACTAAATGAATACATATTTTTGTTAGTGTTAATTTAAATCATAATTGTAAAATTAAATCTAATGTGATATTTATATCAAACCAAATATAATTTATATTTATTTATATTAGCCTAATCCGATAATATAGATCGCGGAACTGTACCCCTGTAGGCTATCTATAATGGAGAAATAATTGGAATAAATAAATACGGTAATCATTCATAAAATGTTCATTGTAAAACAATTACGGTAGAGAAATTCAACAGCTCAAATTTTAACATGAATATGATAGTATTGACAAAATTACAAACCTATGCAATATCATCATCAAACAGCAACAAATGTCACCTAAGTTACCTAATGTTGCCATATATATATATATATACAGAGTGTTTTTTTTCCTTGCTTCTTTATTTAATGTAAAAACTGCAATAGATAGAAATATGCTGTTTGCAGGAATCATCTATTGGCGTAGGGGCCACAATTGTTGAGAATTCAATGAGCGCGTTCTGGGAACATATACCGGTGCACCGGTGCAAAAAATGTGTTGTTATAGGAGACTGGTGAGTTAACCTAGCAGACAGCTATTTCCTCTTTTTCCTCCACCAGTACAAGATTCATGCACCGGAGAAATTGTACGGTGCATAATACACCGACGGCCTCTGATTGGTCAGTTTCTTTGACAACAGCTTGCAGCTACGGCAAGATGGCGGGTCCACCGAATAATGTTCATTAGTTTTTTAGGTTATGTTGCGTAATGAGTTAAAATTTATTCAATGAGGGGGTTATACAGTATTACATAATAAATAATAATTTTTAAATAATTTATTCCGTAAGGGCAAATCTGTTTGTTTTATTTAAATATTATAAAGCAAATAGTAGGTGAATGTGTAGATTATAATCCGATGTGTACCGTAAACCGGCGACTAACCGTTCTAGGATACCAAGACTTTTGCCCCGGTGAGTAAGTCACCGGTTAATCTGCACCGGTGCACCGGTACATGTTCCCAGAACACGCCCAATGTTAAGTTCCCATTCACCCCCTTTCTGCCCCAACCTTTAATTTAAAATTTTTAAATTGCAAGGTACCTCTTTTGACATATAAAATGAGAGGGCGTGAAAAAAAAATAATGGCGCAACCTAGTGGTCATGTCAATCCTATCAAAAGTTATAGCTGTTCAAAATTTTAATGTTTCACCCATTGTTTTAAATTTTAAATGTACCATTCTTTTAGTTTTCTCCGTAACCAATAACCGTACAAAAACACTTTGATATACTGAATTGTTTGTTTTTTAAAGCTCTTTAAGAAGGTTTAGAGAAAATTTGGGAAATTTTGTTTTTTGAGGGTCAAAAGTGAGAAAAACCAATTTTTACCCCATAAAACCCCCCATAAAACCCTGTTCCCATGGTCCGATCATGCTGGATCGCGAACTCATTCAAGTTTATCCTGCCTTACACCTTCAAACCAAATTTCATCAAAATCGGATCAAAATTACTCAAGTTATCGTGTTCACGGACATATATATATATATACATATATAAAAATTTGAACGAATGGTGTTTTTGGCCTCTTGGGACACCAAAATGAAAAAGTAAATCGGTCCCGGGCCTAAGTCTTACCATGAGACCTACGGTAATAGCTACTTCCCTATAGGGAAATTCGCTAAAACTTATAAATAACAATAAATTTTTCAAATTTTAGAAGTAGGACGATTTTTAGATGATTCCCCCAAACTTCAAACAAAAACAACAAAAATTAAAAAATACCCCAGCCGCAGCAAACCTGCCGACTAAGCGAATTTCCATTTGTCTGAATTGATTTTCAGTTAAATATAGGCCTATTTTAATAACATTAGGTTAAACGAGTACCTAGGTTTGCTGCTACAAGGAAACTAATAAAGTGTGTTTTTGAGTAAAATATTGATAGCTTAGTACAAAATAAGTAAATTTGCCAAGTTTGATCAAAATATATCCATAAACAAGCAAACTACAACATTTGACAATATTCTCCATAAGAATAACATGGGAATTTTAAATTTACATTATTTTAAATTTTCTCCGTTACTAATAATTGAACAAAAATACTTTTATATACTAAATTATTTGTTTTTTTTAACCTCTTTAAAAAGGTCTAAAGAGAAATCGGGAAATTTTGTGTTTTGAGGGTCAAAAGTGAGAAAAACCAATTTTTACCCCATAAAACCCCCCGTAAAGCCCCGTTCCCATGGTCCGATCGTGCTGGTTCCCGAACTCATTCAAGTTTATCCCGCTTTACACCTTTAAACCAAATTTCATCAAAATCGGACAAAAAATACTCAAGTTATCGCGTTCACGGACGTATATATATATATATATATATATATATGTCTATATATATATATATACATATATAAACATTTGAACGAATGGTGTTTTTGGCCTCTGGGGACATCAAAATGAAAAAGTATATCGGTCCCGGGTCTAGGTCTTACCGTGCCACCTACGGTAATAGCTACTTCCCTATAGGGAAATTCGCTAATAGCTACTTCCCTATAGGGAAATTCGCTAATAGCTACTTCCCTATAGGGAAATTCGCTAATAGCTACTTCCCTATAGGGAAATTCGCTAATAGCTACTTCCCTATAGGGAAATTCGCTAAAAGATATATTTACCTTACCGCCTCCCCTTAAGTCATTAGAAATTTTATGACTGTTATTCGTTTTAAAATAACACCTGTAATACTTACTTAGCAAATGCTCGGATTCGAGCAGCAGGTAAGTTACACTAGTATAAAAATAAATAAGCTAGTTTAAATAAACACCCTGTAAGGTAAACGCACCAGTAGCTGACAGTATAAGAAACTATACGCACTTAATAATCCGTGGTTTTGAATAAATAGGAACTAAAGAGATATTACGGATTTTGTGTGATTCTAAATTTAGTGTAGTTTTCAAATTTGTCATACAAAAAGGGTTTTTTAAATATATTTTATAACATTTTTAAACTTAATTCAACCTTTGTACGTGTTCCAGTGGCTGACAGTGAAAAAAGTGCTTGTACCAGTAGCTGACAGTCAGTTGTCCCAGTAGCTGACACTGGAACTTAAATGTATTAGCTGCTAAACCTAAAGGTTTTATAATTTATAAGACGAATAAAATCTAACTTAATAATTAAATTATAAAATCACATAAAACGTTATTAAGAAAATTTATTTTACATATTTTAAAATAAATAATATTTACATTAAAATATATATACAGGGTGACAAAAAAGTCTGGAAACGGCTTGATATCTTTTTAACTAAATTCGTTTGAAAATTCAAACTTTTCACATCAACTTATATGTATGATAACTACTCTTGCAAGCATTACCATTTTTTGACCTCTACCAGGGGACGACCCATGAGGAGTAGGTACATAATCTTTGATGTAAGCATAGGTTGATATGCACATCATTTTAAAGGTCTGGTCCAGTGGAGTTCATTGCCGGAAACCGCGTCAAAAAAGGTTCATCCGTTACAAAATGGCGGCTGTCCAAAGTTCTTGCGGAATATACCTACAGAGGCCTTACTATTGGTAAATACTCATATTCAACATTAGCCGGGAAATCTGAAACTCGGTAAAATTTGTTTTGAAGATTTTATAATATTAATCTATGAGCTAGTTGACTTAAAAATACAGTTTCAGCTCTCAAGCTAATGTTTAATACGAGTATTTACCAATACTAAGGCCTGTGCGGGTATATTCCACAAGAACTTTGGACAGCCGCCATTTTGTAACGGATGAACCTTTTTTGACGCAGTTTCTGGCAATGAACTCCACTTGACCAGACCTTTAAAATGATGTGCATATCAACATATGCTTACATTAAAGATTATGTACCTACTCCTCGTGGGCCGTCCCCTGGTAGAGGTAAAAAAATGATAATGCTTGGAAAAAGTAGTTTTCATACATGTAAGTTGATGTGGAAGGTTTGAATTTTCTAACGGATTTATTTAAAAAGATATTAAACCGTTTCCAGACTTGTTTGTCACCCTGTATATATTTTATATATATTTAAAAAAAATATACATTTTTTAAGATAATTTGGCTTATAAATTAAAAAATTAAAATCATTTTATAAAAATGTGAGATCACATAAATTATAAATAGCATGCAAATTTCGATGGGTGAAACCAATTTAATATTGTGCAAGTAGCAAATATCCCCTGTCAGCTAGTGGAACTTGTATGGCTTTTGTGTACCAAAGCCTGACATTGATATAATGTTAAATCCAAAACCCCTAACGCCCCAAATTTTTCATGAAATTGTCAACAAAGGTATAATTGATAAAAATAATGAGCCTAATCATTAATACTATTTAAGAAATTTAGCGAAATGACAAAAAACTAAACTAACTTTCTTAACAATTTCATTAAGGGAATCGACTAAATGTGATGTGTACGGACAGGGTCGCTTTCAAACCACCACCATTCCGCAAGTATGGGCTAAATTTAACTGATTTTTTTGTAAACAAATCAAGAATAAACATATGTTCTTCTAACAATGCAATCATGTGTAAATATTTTTAAGAGACCACATTATAATGTTAAGAAACTCAAACTGTCAGCTTCTGGAGCACTGTCAGCTACTGGTGCATTTACCTTATATTGTAATAATGAGTTATTAAAGATAAGTTACCTTTTGTAAATGAAAGTCTACAGTAACAACTCCAGTTTGAAAGAAGTTGAAAAGATATAATATCAAAAATCCATTGAGTAATAACCCCATCACTGCCAACACATGAGACTTCGCCGTCTTGAACGGTACTGACTGAGATAACGGGAGTTGTGTAAGATAAAATAGAACCGCTTTCTGAAGGACACTTTCGATTTGCTTGCATTCACTTCCTTATTTCAAGTTTGAAGTTCACTAAGCTCAGTACTGAACTTTACAAAAGAAAGGTTATGTTGTTGTTGTTATGTTGTTGTTATGTTGCTAACTAAAGTAACTACTTGACGAAACTGGAACCGAACAACTCCCAACTCCGGTGGGGCACACGGAAGATTTCTCAGGTGCCGTTTGACGTCACTAACTGCTGACGTCACTAACTGCTGCGTCTGAAGAAACAGACAATTTTATAATTTGTCTATTATTAAATTAAACTGTCATAACATAACCAAACGTGCTGATTGTGAAAAAATCGAATGAAGGTTTACTAATCTAAAAATAGTTTTGTTAATAAAATATAATTAGAAATGCCCAGTGCCGGATTTAGGGTACTTGCGGCCCTAGGCCAAATTACTTGAGCGGCCCTTCCCCTGTGGTGAAAATTCCTTGCGATCGCGGAAGGCGGAAGTAATAGTGACTATCTCCTATACATCAAGGGGACATCATCATCGACACCTGTGATCCTGGATGAAATCGTGGACATCTCTCCTAAACCAAGTCAAAGCCATCATAGTTATCCGGGACCGCAGTAAAATCGTGAACATCTCCCGCGGGCCGCAATCACGGGGACATCATCATCGAAACTTGCGATCGCGGCAAAGTCGTGTTAAAAACCTCTCCCGTGGACTGCGATCATGACGACTTCATCATTGTCACCCGCGGCCGTGCCGAAATCGTAAACATTCCACTCGGGAAGCCATCACGGGAACGTCCTCATTAACACCCCCAGCCGCGGCGAAATCGTTAACATCTCCCGTGAACCTCGATCACGGGGACATCATCATCAACACTCACAGCCGCGGGCCGCAATCACGGGGACATCATCATCGAAACTTGCGATCGCGGCAAAGTCGTGTTAAAAACCTCTCCCGTGGACTGCGATCATGACGACTTCATCATTGTCACCCGCGGCCGTGCCGAAATCGTAAACATTCCACTCGGGAAGCCATCACGGGGACGTCCTCATTGACACCCCCAGCCGCGGCAAAATCGTTAACAACTCCCGTGAACAACGATCACGGGGACATCATCATCAAAACTCACAGCCGCGGTGAAATCATGAACATCTGCCGCGGGCCGCAATCACGTGAACATCATCATCGACACTTGCGATCGCGGCAAATTCGTGTTAAAACATCTCCCGTGGACTGCGATCATGAGGACTTCATCATTGTCACCCGCGGCCGTGCCGAAATCGTAAACATCCTCCTCGGTAAGCCACCATGGGGACATCCACATTGACACCCCCAGCCGCGGCGAAATCGTTAACATCTCCCGCGGACCGCAATCACGGGGACATCATCATCGACACTTGTGACCGCGGCGAAATCGTGAACATCTCCCGCACACGGGCCGCAATCACGGGGACATCATCATTGACAACTCGATACAGCATCTACTTCGTAAACGTCTCCTGCGAGCTGCGATCATAAGGACACATCCCCGTTACCCGCGGCCGCGGCTAAATCATGAACGTCTCCCGCGGGCCGCAATCACGGGACATCATCACAAGCACCCGAGGCCGCGGCAAAATCGTGAACATCTCCCTCGGTCCACGGAGACATCATTATGGTCACCTGTGATCGCGGCAAACTGGTGGTTTAAAATAAATTTTTTTTTTTAAATTTTATCTAAAAAATGTTTTTCCCAATCCCCTGCGGCCCCCTTTTGCTTCCGGCACTGGAAATGCCCGACACGCTATCCACTACACCACCGAGGCCGATGGCTCAAAACCGTATCGTTGCGGTAATGGTGTTGGTGTTCCCTCAAAGTGACGTCAGCAGTTATTGACGTCAAACGGCACCTGAGAAATCTTCCGTGTGCCGTTTTGGAACACCTCTAGCATCTCACAAATGTTCCTCTTCCAGAAACTGGCGAGAACCTCTTGTGCGAAGGATTGGGGGATTGTGGGAGAGCCCCTCACGCCAATTTAAGACAATCTTTAAATTTATTTTATAATATTTTGGTTGGAAAAACTAACTTTTTAATTATATAATAATTTTTAAATTTGTAATTATAAAACTAATTTTAACTTAAATTTTTAATTATAAAATTAATTTCAACATAATTTTTTTATTATAAAATTTAACTGTCAAAACCTAACCTAACCAACCGAACTTTGATGATAATATACAAAGATATAAGATAAAAATCGAATGAAGGGGTACTTATAATTTTTAATTATAAAATTAATTGTAAAATTTTTTTATTATAAAATTAAACTGTCATAACCTAACCAAACTAACCAAACTTGCAGATAATATAAAAAATATAAAATAAAATCGAATGAAGGTTTACTAATTAAAAAAATAATAAATAATTGAAAGAAAGGCCGCGGCTTGGAGTTAAAGGTGGCCGTTGTTAAAGGCGGTAGTGAGTGAGCAGATTGAGCAACGTTGAATCGGAATATTATTTGTTGCCGTTGCCTGCCGTTAAGCAAGCAGAGCCAGAGCAGACAAACTAACAGATGACACTATGACAGACAGACCAGACAGACACTACACTAGCAAAGCAAGTAGCACTAGCCCCAGGGCCTAGTTAGTTGTCACAGGCGAAATTTTAATATAATTTTGAGTTAAAGATATTTTTATGTTTTGTGCTTCTTATTAAGTTATTCTTATCAATTTTTAGTTGTGTTGAAAATTAACCTTTTAAAACATCTCTTGTTTAAGGATCACATACAAGAACATTATGGATGGTTGTAAACACTTGAATAATTTTAAGTTGGTTAAAGGAATACAACCTTACAAGACTATTCACTCATATTTCGTTGCTAGTACCTCAGCAGAAGCTCGAAAGACAAAGGTAACTAATTTTATTGTTATTTTTACCAACGAATTATCTATTGTGAATGAAAATCACCCAAGGGCTTTAATGTTTAGGTTATGTATGTGGATCAGGTGACCAGGCGGTGGCTGAGGTTATGTTTAACCAGTAGAGTAGGCTAATCGGTGGCTAATCGTGTTTAACTCTAACCGAAATGGTGGCATAATAATTAACTTGATACTTTAAACTGATATGGCTACCATACAAAGGTATTTATTTTAACCCAAGTATGAATGGAGATGAGTGGATTAACATGACCTAGGCCCAGCCTAAGTCACGTTTTAGATAATTTTTTTTAAACTAAGTCAATTATTGTGTTGTCAAATGACAAGGTAACTCGCTTATTTTCCTTAAAAAAATGTAGACTAGTGATGGGAACAACTGATTGAAAACAACCAATTCAATCGATTGTTGGAAAACAACCGTCGACTAGTCGGTTGTTCTCCCGGATATTATTGAAACTAGTCACTTTATACTCCCGGTCCTACGGCGACTGGAGCCAGTCAACCAATTGTTGGAATAACTGGAAACAGTCAAACGTCGACGATTGAAACTAAGTTAGTCGTAAGAACCACTGACTGTTGTTGAGCTTTCATTGTTGATATAGCTTTCCCAGTCAAGCTTAAAAAAGCTGTTAGTAAAAGGTCAAAAAATAAATTTAAGTGGTTCAATAATGATTTAGCTGTGTTAAAAGAAAAGTGTCTTTTGATGTATCACCGTTTTAAAACAACTGGGTGCATAGAGTATAGGGATAATTATAATAGGCTTAAGCGTGATTATAAAAAAGCAGTTAGAGAGGCAAAATTAGCCTATAATTCCAATAGAGTGCAAAATGCCTGTAATAAACCCAAGGAAACTTGGTCTATTGTAAATGAGGGCCTGAACAAAAATGAGAAACCAATAGCTGATGGTAACTATTTGAACTTAGATTGTTCAAAGTTTAATGACAATTTTTATAAACTCCGTAAAAGCTACTGTCCTAAGTGTTCCTAAGTCAAATAAAGGTGTACAATTTTATCTGGATAAACTCAATATAAATGGGGTACAGAATAAGTTTACTTTTTCTATTGTGTCAGTTGAACATGAGTGCAATTAACTCGTTAAGCGATAGTCCTGTCTAGATGTATATTTTATTAATTCTTTAATTTTAAAACTTGCTGCACCATACATTGTAGAAGTGCTTTCATATTTGTTTAATTCGTGCATTGATGAGGGTGTTGTTCCACAATGTTTAAAGTTTGTAAAAGTGATACCTGTGTTTAAGAAAGGCTGTAAAGAAAAGTATGACAGCTACCGCCCTGTATCAATTATCCCAGCTTTATCTAAGGTTTTTGAGTTCTTGTTAAATGTTCAAGTCAAAGCTTATTTTGAGGGTAATAAGTTATTTTCTGACATGCAGTATGGTTTTAGGGCGAAGAGAGGGACAAGTAATGCTATCATTAATTTTACGAAAGATTGTATATCTGGTTTAGATGCTAGAGAAATTGTGCGTGGACATTTCTATGATATGTCAAAAGCTTTTGACACTATAGACCATGATGTTATATTGAATAAGCTTTATTTTTTATGGTTTTGACACTCTCTCTGTAAAATTGATACACTAATACTTGTCACAGCGATATCAGTCAGTCCTCTACAATGGCTGTTTTTCACCTTACCTGCCAGTCCCGACTGGTGTGCCACAAGGGTCTGTTTTAGGCCCTACTATCTTCATTATTTATGTAAATGACTTACCTGCTCTGTTAAATGATCATGTAACACCTTATATATGTATGAGTGAAAATTTAAAAACGTACGTTTTCATGTCCCTGGCCTTTTACTTCGTTTTGTAGTTTATTATTATTTGTTTTAATATTTTTTGGGACGGGGGCAACATGTTACACACATTTATTTGGTTTTAAATAGGTTCTAGGTATTTTTTTCGTATTTTTAAAGTCTCGAAATTCACGACCATGATGCGTCCCTAGGCTACATTTTCCAACTTTCACGCTGTTTTTAGACTAAATATTCATGCCGAAATATATAAAGCCATATTTTTATGTCATCAATGGTTATTAAACTTACAAAAAAGGAGCATATTATAATTTTATTGTCATTGCAAACTGACTACCATGACAAAATAAGTCTGTCCCTCGATTTGGCGTCACGACCATTTGGGAAAAATTTTCAACTTTGGAGCACGACAGTGGCAAGCCTGGCGTCGATGGAGTCAGTTGGTTTTAGAGACTAGTTCGGGGTGTACGTCAGGATTGTAGTGCCGGTCGTTTCGAGTTGAAAGGAGGAATTACAAGATTAATAAAGGAAAGATTGTGTTTTTTGTAATTTTGGTGTGTCCATGACCGTACGTAGTCATTCGATGAAGTAGACATGGTGTTAATTTTTGTTTATAAGATATTTCAATTGCTTGATTAACCTAGAAGTCCACTTTGTATCCTCGAACATGAGGTGCAGGGCTACCGCCAGAACAGAGCCAAATAACACGTAATTTCACGACCAAAGTTTCACGACCATCGCGGGTTTTTTCACGACCAATCCAGCCTTATGGATTATAGTATGTTTGGTCGTGACAATAACTTTAATGTAATTGTAATTTGAACAGTTTAGTTCAATTGGAACACTTATTTTTATTATAACTAACAGTATAATTGAAGGATTGTTTAGAAAGATTTAGATTATTTCAGAAAATTCACGACCGTACCGCTTGTCCCTGACCATCACGTTTATGATTTCTATCATAAAAATTTCAAAAATTAAAATATCGTCATATTTTAATGTTTTATACACTAAAGAAGCACACCTCTATACAAACATAACGATTTTTCGGGTCTCAGGTAAGTTTTTTCGGAGTTATACAAACTTAAAAACATTTTATTGGCTTTTTTTTAAATTTTTTTAGTTTTTTTTATTTTTTTCTAGAAAGACCAAATATACCAAAAGCTCAGTGACCTTTTTATTGTATAACGGTCATAAAAGTAAATTAGTTTATAGCAAAACATAGTTATATAAATAATATTAACTATTTTTAATATTCATTAATCGTCTGTTATGGTCGTGACAGGATTTTGTGTTTTTCCACTAAAGATGCTCTTTAAAAAAAAAAAAAATACCAAAGATATTGCGTTACCATGGACATTTTATGAAACTTCAAATGTTAATGAAATAAAAATAATAATAAAAGTTTTGTAAAAAGGGGAAAAAATTTGCAAAGTGCTTTTCCTGAAAACGTACGTTTTTAAATTTTCACTCGTATGCAGATGACCTGGCCTTGCAAATTCAGTGTAAGGATAAAAATTTTGCTGATCAACTGTTTCTTAGTTCAAATAGGCTAATTGAAGATTGGGCTGCTGCAAATATGTTATGTTTAAATAAAGAGAAAACACAGAGTCTTGAATTTTGTCTTGGAAATAGTAATGATGAATTGTCTGTTGTAAAGTTTTTAGGTGTGTTTTTACAGTCTAATGTAAAATGGGACAATCACATAAGTTACCTGTGCAATAAAATTTCCAAAGCTACTTTTATTATTAGAAGACTTAAGTCAATTGTTAGTTTAGATGTTTTATCTGCTATATATTTTGCACATATACAGAGTCATTTGTCATGGCATATTGGCTTGGGGCTGTGATAGTAACATAAGAGAGCTGTTATTGTTACAGAAGAGAGCATCTATAATATTAAAACAAAACAGTGTTTTTTTATTTCACGATTCTGAATCAACCACTCGACGGATTTTCATGATTTTTGTGTTGAAAGAAAGATAATTTTGAGAACTAGGGAATGTCGAAGCCATAATTTTATTTTAGGGTCCCAGTTTTTTAGAAATTAAGTTTAAATTTTTTTAAAGTCTATTGGATATTATCGTTTTATTTTAGGTCGTTTTTATTCAGACCTACTGGAAATTGTGTATAGTAGTTGTATTGTGGTGATATAATAATTATGGAAGAGGCAGGTATGCTATGGAAGGTGGTATCGTTGACTAGGTAATTGACTATTCTATTTCTCTCTCTACTGTAGGCTACTTATAATCAGTGTGCATCTGTGCGAATGCGGCTGCAAATCTCACTTCAACGATTTTCACATCGTAAAAATTGCAGAATTGCTGTTCTATTGTAAAATTGTCGGATTTAAAATGCATATCGTATAGGCCTATGATGGAATAAAAACATATTTGGTCGCACAACATTTGTTTACAAGATGATTTGTCACAACTGCAAGAAACTTTGTCTTTATATGTGTAAACTAGCTGATCTGAATTGTACTCGGTTTTAACTGACTACTGAATTCCCGTACGTAGGACGGGCTAACACCTCGTTAAGATTAATTTTAAATGTTAACCGTAGATCTCATTGTAAACCACTTTTTAGGAAACTTAATATATTGACTGCTCCATCTTTGTATGTTTTTTTAATGTTTAGTATATATTTTAATTAATTTAGATCAGTTTAAAACTAATAGTTCTGTTCATAAACTATGGAACAAGACAAAAAATCATTTAAGAATCAACCAATGTAATTTTCAAAGAACTATTAATTCAACTTTAGAGGTTAGTAAAAGAGTGTTTAACAGATTGCCTGAACATGTAAAAAATCTCAACTTAACTAATTTTAGAAGGTTTTTAAAACAGTTTTTGATAGATTTGTCCATGTACAAAGTTTCAGAATTTAATGAATACTGGGATTCTGCAGGTAGACGCCACCTTGACTAAAATTTCATTTGTTTCATTTAGTATTGAATGAGTATTGTCTCTATGTGAAAATTAAAAAAATATTTTATTGACGATGCACCTATTTAAGGTTACAATGTGTTATCATGTAAATGTTTTGTGCAAATAAAGATTGATTTGATTTGATTTGAGACTGACTGGTGAATGAAAGCGGTTGTAGATAAACTTGTACTGTACACAAATTGTGAACAGTGTTTAATCCTGAGGTATAGGCCTAATTAAAATAATGTAATTGTATGTTTTATGTCTTTAAAAATTTTAAATTTCCAAGTCACTGTTTTTCAAGTACTCATGATTTAGTTTTAAATGACTAATACAGTTACATATCTGCTCAATTTGAGGTGGGAAAGTGGTCTGGGAGTTCTCTATATAAAAATAATTTTGGATTATCTTTGATAAAAAATTTTATTATAATTTACTTTCTTTAGGCTATTGAAATAATTTAAATGTTGTTGCTGAATAAAACATTACATAGCATTTGTTTTACAGTTCCTTACAGTTTATACAGCCATGCCTCCAGAATTGATTTATAAAATGGGTTTACGTATCTCATGTCGTAAATCGTACTTTAGTGTATCCTTGTGTATTAAATTTTATATTTGTGTATCCTTGTGTATATTTGTGTATATTTTGTGTGTATTGACGACAACATTGTGTGAAAATAATTTTATGTAAGACGACAAAAGCCTTGAAAATAAAACAACTGTTTCTAAATTAGTTGCCTGAGACTAAACTAGGATGGACGAACCAAAATGCAGAACCCTGTTTTAGGCTATTGTTTCCAACAGGTTGTAGTTTCAACTTCTTAATTACAGTAGGCCTACTTGAAATCAAGCTCTGGTCTTGAATAAACTCATATTCAGCAAGGCTAAATTCCTAGTTAGAAATATTAAAACTTCCATGCAAATTTGGTTCTGTCTATGCTAAAAGTTCCAGTAGCGGTAAGTATACTTCGGGCTTACTGGATCAGTTTTAGAGACTAAAAATAAATTTGAATTCATCTTTGTTTTTTCTTTGGTTGCCATTTTTTAACATAAAATATTTAATTTGAGTTTTGTATTCACTTAACAATTGTGTCTTTGTTGCAGGCACTGCATTGTTATTGTTACACTTGTAAGAAGATTGAGCGAAGACTTCATTCTTGTCTTCACTGTATATACATAGGATGTTACAGTAGTGGTCATATTCAAGATCATTCCAAAACTAAGAAACACTTTCTTGGTTAGTTTCCTAAAGTTAAGTAGCTTTTACCCCCGCCGCAGCAAACCTGCAGACTAAGCAAATTTCCATTTGCCTGATTGGATTTTAACTAAAATATCTCCTTTAAAAATCATTTTTATTCCCTATTTAAATAAAATTAGTTTAACGACTACCGGTACTTGATATTGAGTACTTATTCCTATCCACCGCAGCTTATTGTATGTGTAGGTATCTAAGAAAGTGTTTAAAATATTTAGAAACCCATTGGGATTCCAAAGCAAGAATTGTAAAATATAGTTTTTACAATATTTTAACTAAGGAAACAATTTTTATTCATATAACAGAATAGTCACTCACATACATTCTTACATTAGTACATTATTATTATTTATAAATACTTACAAGGAATAAGCCAACTGGATAAAAATGTATTTTTCTTACAGACACATCAATAACAATTTTGAATGCCAATTTAGCCATAGATTGTTATTACCTATATAAGGTAATATCTTTTTATTATTAACAATTAATTTGAAGTAATGTTTGTGGTGTCATTTAGCCAGAATATTTAAATGATAACAAAAAGTAACCATAGCTACTATTCAAAAATAGATTACTGTAACTTTTTTTTGTAACTTAAATAATTAATTAGTCCCACCCCCAACCGTTGACTATACAAACTAAACATTTCATCACCGTGTTAAAGTTGTCTTCAGTTTCTCAATAAAAATCGTCATACAGTAGTTAATGTGACCTACTGACAGATTTTGCATTGCGCTAATCTAAATTACTAACTTGTGTCAAATACACCAATCTTTTTACCAACTATTGGCATGACTTATTGTTATAGCATTGACGTTGTAGCAACTGTTATTACCCATTTATTTTGTTAGCAACTAACATTAGTTAGTACAGTAGCCTCCCTCTTAACCGACCCTAATGGGACCGGACCTAGGTCGGATAACTCAAAAGGTCGTCGTGATTTAGCCTCCGGATAACCAATATTTCAATAAAGTGGTTTAAATACCTGCATAAAAGTTATCCAAATGTTGCTCCCGGCAACCGGTTTCAATCCACAATAGGGATCTTTATCAGGCCGATCAGGATGTCAAAACATTTTTTCTCTTCTTGCGAAGGTCGTCAAAAGGTGTAAAAAACATGCACACATAGTCACAAACACAAAACACGGACATTTAACACTGAAGACACGGCCAAAATTATTGCGACGACTCATCCCCGGCGAAGGTATAGTCTAGACTGCCGGTGGTCAGTGGAATCCCGTCGTCCAATCCTTATCAGCTGTTTCATTGAGGTCTACCCACCCCCTCCATCCATACCCTTCAATACCTTGATTGTAGTGTCATAAATATAATTAGATGAAAATGACAGCTTGTCGTTCAGGACGTTCTGATGATCCGATTTTACAGCTTTATATATTTCAAATTCTTCTAATGTGCTTGTCTGAGATCTGTCTTTTGAAGAGTGTAAAATATGCATATTTCTGTGTATATCTGAATAATTATGGTTATTTGAAACGAGGTGGTCAGCAAAAGCAGATGTCTGGTCATGGCTTTCTTGGGCAAATGTTCCTTGAATCTCTTTTTAAAGGAGCGAGAAGTCTGACCGATATAGTACTTTTCACAATCAGTACATGAAAGCCGTAAACTCCAGTTTTCTCATATTCTGGAGTTGAAGTCTGGGGTCGCTCTTCCAATAAAGTTCCAAGACTGTTAGTAGTCCTGAACGAAGCTGTGATATTATCTTTGGCTAAAAGGTTCTTAAATTTATTGCTTAGAAAATAACCATATTTAGCTGATAAGAATATTTTGTGAGCTTTTGTTTCGTTTCCATTCGAGTTTTTATTTCTATGTTTGTAAATCAGATTATCAATAATTGAGCTTCTGTACTCATTAGAGATAGCTATATATTTTAATATGTTAACTTAATCTTCATAGTCACTCTGATTCATGGGGACTGTTAATAACCTGTGGACAAAACTATTGTATGCTGCTAATTTTTGTGTGTGAGGATGGTGTGATTCAGCATGGATTGTTTGGTCGGTATAAGTAGGTTTTCAGTATATTTTAAATTGTAAGGTACCATTGTTTTTTGTTATGGTGAGGTCCAGAAAATTTAATCTACTGTTTTCCTCCTTCTCTAATGTAAAGCTGATGTTTTTATGCATGCTACATAAATATGTGTTAAGCATACATAATTGCCTGTCATTACCGTTAAATAAAACTATGGTATCATCCACATACCTATAATAAAACAGAATTTTATTTCTGAGCCGGTTCACTCCTGAAAACAAATATTTATTTTCAACCACTATCTTCAAGCAAAATTATTTCCGATTTCAAAATGAATTCTACATGCAGAAAGATGGGCTAGCTATGGGCTCCCCCCTCTCTGGAATATTGGCTGAAATTTTCTTAAACCATCTTGAAAATAAATATTTGTTTTCAGAAGTGAACCGTTAGAAAGCGGCGGTTAAACCGAACTGCTCTCAAAGCAAGGTCGGTTAAAACAAACTGTATTATTTTACGATTGAAGGCGGAAAATCCGGTTAATACGAGGTCGGTTAAGATGGGGTCTACTGTAAATGGAAATCTAGACTCAAGTGCATTTTGTGACTGGCTCACACAACTACAGTAGACTTCCTCTTATCCGGACACCTTTTAACCAGACAACTTGACTTTGTTACTGGTTATACAAAATTTCTGTAAATAATTTCAATATATTTATAGCTATTTACATTACAAGTGTAGTAAGAGCGTTTTTACATCACGCAAGTGAATGTTGTGCAATGAGCAGAAGCGAGTTGCATAATTCACCTAAGTGATGTAAACACGCTCTTGCGTAACGTGTAACGTACAAGATTTTACCTGACCCGACAATATACATGGGTTTATGTACAATATTTTCCATTATCCATTTCACTCATCTTCTAACAGTAACGTTCTTTTACAAACAAAAGCTAGGTTAGGAAAATACTTTAAAGCATAACAATAACATTCAAGCGCACAGCTGATTTCTAGCGTTGGTGTGGGTTTCTCACATGGGTTTCTTTACATCACCGAGTGAGTTTTTGATACTTTACATCACTCGAGAAGTAAGGAAGTTGCATACATCACGCTTGGGATAGGGAAGTTTAACATGGCGGGTTAGGTAAAATAACTTAACTCACTATCTGTTATCTTCTCATAGGCTTTTAACTGATAGGGTAGACATCCATCTATATGGACCAGCTGTCCCCTTTTTTTCATTAAAAAAGAACATAGTTGTGTGAGCCAGTCACAGAATGCACTAGTTTATAAAATTCTATTTTATACCTAATTTTTTGTTACTGACAAAGTTGATGGGTCATAACAGTTGCTTTAGCTCACAATTCCATTGGCTTGACTTGGTAAAAAATGTGGTTTATTCAACAGAAATTAGTAATTTAGATCTGCACAATCTGTCAGTGGCTCACATAAACCACGACAATTTTGATAAAAAAAACTGGCCACAACTTTAACTTGGGGATAAAACTGGCCACAACTTTAACTTGGGAATGGGGGTACAAACCAAGCAGTTAAAAAAATCATGATATTCACAAGAAATTTAACTGAGTGTGGATTTACAATGCAAGGGATGATAAGAACTAATAAGAGTTATCTGTTGCAAACAGCCTTCCTGGCTACTATTAGGTCCATAGTATAATCTTCAACACATTCCAATCTTCAACACATTCCCTCCTATCTATTCTATCAGTCACAGTGAAATATTCTAATGTTTAGTTGTTTAGTTTATAGTGTAGGGCCTAAAGTTTTGAGTTTGTTGTGCCAATTTAGACTTTCTTATTCAGGCAAGCCTGCTATCCTCACAAATCTTTTAAACCTAGACCCTTGTGCTTTATGTTACATCCTTAATTGATTGCAAAGAGTCACAATATACTCTTGTTAATACTTCCTGCTTCAATCTAACTTGGTTCATACATTTATACCAACAGAAGAATGAGTTTGTCATTCAGACCAATATGGCCATAGTAGTAAAAATTGTGAGCTTTTTACCAAAAAACTAGTTCTTTAATTATTTGCCCAATCCTGTTAGCATGAAAAGCCACAGCTTGCTGAACCTACCTAGGAGTAGAATATATTAGTAGGCTATGGGTGTGTTGATATTTATTGGCACTCAAATTTTCTTCCTAGTTGTGAAAAGTTATCTTCCTAGTTCTCTTTCTATTCTCAAAGGTTTAATACTTATGAAATTAGAGTTTGTAAATCAACATACATATCAATGAAATATATTTCAGCGGTGGACCTTGCATACGGTAATGTCCTCTGCTTCCAATGTGGCGACTACATTTACGACTCGGTGCTGGCAGAGGTTGCCGAGGCTAACGTGACAATGGCAGCCGTCAGTCTGGGTATGTCCTCAGTGTATTCCACATGGTCACCTACTCCACGTGAGGTTCAGCTAATGCAAGGAAACCCTCGTGTGCTGACTATACTGAAAGACTCTACATTAGGTGAGCGGACTGTACATCAAACCATCAACTAACAAACTACTAACTTTTTATAATTTTTGATATCTGTTAAAGTTGTAACAGTTAGTTTTAATAAATTAAAAATACATAAAGTCAATAAAATATGATATGTCCAGACAATAGTACTTTCCTTTAATCTTTAATAGCATTTGGGACTGCTTCACGTAAGGTCAAGTGGAGTAAGTGTACGCCCGGAGAAAGCGGACTTCCAGCTAATAATACATTTGTTTATTAATACAAAAATTTGAAAACTTAGCCATTGTTATTTCAAACTATGCTCTTTAAAATTATAATCACAAAAAAATTCTCTTGCTATGATTACTATGAGTTTAGACGTGTTTAAGAACCTCTTACGTTTTTACTCAAAACACAAGTGCCGCTCGGAAAACAATTCAACACTGACAATTCAAAAATAACCTTTTTATAGCCCTAAAAGTCAATTTTGGGGAGTTAGGAGGGGAGGACGTACACTTACCCTGTGTGAAAACTTGTTAGGGGCAAGTGTACTTTTTCCCATGGGGCAAGTGTACACGTCAATAACTAATAAATTACCGGTATCTAAAAATAAAGAAAACTTTGTTATCTCTTGCTTGAATGACAAGAAAAAACTTGCAATTTGTAAATTTAGCTTTTTAAGGTTTAATATAGGAAAATTTAGGGCTAATGTCAAATACATTAAAAAAAATTAAGGTTTTAAGTTACATCATCGAGCGGAGTTAACGAGTAGTTAACGAAGAAACTCTTAACTACTAGTTTAAGATATTTAAATGATTAAAACCCCAAAATAAAGGTCATTTTCTGCTCTTTGAGACTTAGCAATTGTTAATTCAATGGAATAGTGGAATCATAAGGTTTTTATTTTCTTTAGAATTTTTAATAAAGCTGGAGTTTTTGTTTTCCCTTGCGGAGGTTTACAAAAAAGCTTATAACTCCTGAACCGATTGAGATATTTTGATAGATAAAAAATCAAAAGAAAGCTAATGTTCCCCTCTATAGTAGTCCCAACACCAAGTAATACTAGGTGAAACCCGTCGAAATCGACGGTTACTTTCAAGGCTTACGTTAATTCATCCAACTGCGATAAATTGGGTGAAAATACATATTTTGAGCATTTAGCATTGTTTAAAGAGTAATAAGTATAAAAACATTAATGATTTTAATCACGTTAGTTGCCAAATTTGGTTGATCATTCAATGATTAAAATATTTCCCATACCGTAAGTCATCGGAGTTATTATTAGTATGTTATATGATATCTCTTCCTTTGGAAGAACCTTTAAATAGTATTAATATTGTATTGGTGGGTCTTTTGTAGCTAAACACTTCTGTTATTTCATCAGTGTAATATGATTTTATTTGGAAAGAAAATATTTTTTGGAAAGACATATTCTAACTTCAAAGGGAGGTATATCCGTTACAGTGTAAGTTTAATTTTTCCTTCGTCACGTCGCTTCAGTTCATATCGTACTTCTGTGCCAATAAATGAACCCTCTAGCATAGTTTTGAGAAATTGATTGTGGGGTTACTGTTAAAGCTGGAATTCCTTGACATGGGGGATGTCAGTTAGTTGTCTCAGCCTTATCAACAACATATAGTTGTCAATATAATCTCTCTACGGAATGTTAAGTGTAGTGGAATACTTGAAGTGAAGTTGGCTTTAATTCTTGAACTGTTAGGGGCCTCCTAGTCCATATGGTCTTGGCGGCTTCATTGGCAACAAATAATGCAAATGACATAGCAATGGGACATTTCCAAAAAACAAAAATACTGTAAATTGGCTGTTACGTATATATTGACGTGTACATATTGTTAATCAACATATCTTATAAAAGATTATGTGATCTTATTTAAAAGGAATATGACCTTTCTGTCATGACAGTAGCTGCTTAAATCGTATTTTCTCTTTGTACCATATTTTACAGCCAAAATCTAGTGTTATTTTCAATAATGTTACCAACCCAGTATGCCAAAGTCCGTAATATAGGCAGGTGCAAATAATTTGTCAAGATGGATACCATTTTAGGCAAGGTTTCTATGTTTGGATTTTGTTAGATACGATAAGAGCAGATATTTCTACATAAATATTTGATATGAGTAGAATAATATGATAAAATGTAGGCAAAAGTGGTGAAAAAGGGAGATATCAACCCGTACAATAGATATAAGATAGTTTCTATAAGAAATAATTTAAGAATTGCTGTGATAAAAGGATTTTTTACTGATTTCGTAATGGAACGTTATATTGCAAAACATGACATGATAAAGAGGAAAATCGATTTTAAAATCATAAAATAACCTTTCAAATACTTGATTTGGTAGAATTCAGTAACTCCCAATAAATATGTGTTGTTTGAAATACAATTTAAAAAAATGAACAGCTGTTTTATTAAAAAGTATTATTCACATGGCCAAAATTTAAACAACTCTGTGGATGGATCTTTAAAGGCTTCTAAGGCAGAGCCCTAAGGGATTTTGCTTAGTTTTATTTTTGATAACTCATCTACAGACCAAGACCTTTCTTTGGACACCTCTACCAAGTTTCTATGCCCAGCCGTTCTCTCAAATCAGTGGGGGCAATGTTTCCAATTAAATATTTAAATTCCCCCATGTTAATCTTATGGGAGAAAATCCAATTTTGATGGTCTGTGGGGTAAAGCCCGAGGATTTTTATTACAAGAATTGGTGAAAGGGGGCATCTACACAAAAAATACTTTATTTTGACACTTCGTTTGTAAAAATCCTTCCATTATTAACGGAGGAGTAGTGTTTCGTAGAAATCGCCTTCACGTATTATATATAAGGATGCAGTGGAAAGCTACAATAGGGGGGGGGGGGGGAGTGTGACACACCCCAAACATAATTTTTTTTAATTCTCAAAAACACAAAATTCACATTTTTAACAAAATCAAAAAACTACATACCGTGTACAAAACATTCCAAAGAATAAGCTCAGCAAATTTGATTTTTATTGCACTTACGGGCATATTTTAATATTTGGTTAAAGTTGTACTATGTGATTTAGAGCGTACACTTACCCCACTTGACCTTACTTCTATTTTGTTGTTTTTAAAATTCAATTTTGTTTTTTGTTTAAATTTTATATGAAAGTACTTAAACCCTTTTGGAAAAGTGGTCCAAACTTGTAAAATTTGCTAGATTGACCTGTGCTCTTTAATACTGTGTAGTATGATTTTTTTGTAATGAAAAATATATCAGAACAGGTAACACAAACAACTTACTCAATGAAACATTGAATTGTAAAGTCTTGACAATATCATCGGTTGCATTTAAAAAATATAATAATATAAAGAAAGAGCTATCCACTTTACTTGGAAAGTCATCTTTAACTTAGGTAACTCTTGTAAAGTAATTTACCTTACTTAGAAATCAGTAGTGGTCATGGAAAAAAAACTTATTTTTCGTTAAGAAGCAGTTCTGAAAAATTCTGGGCTTTGGTTCTAGATTGATAACCCTTTACACAATCCAAGATTGGCTGCTATACAGACCTTTCAATGGGAAACAGTATTAAACTGATCATGACTTGTGAAAGAAAACACTATTAATATTAATGTTACACTATCTGTAAAAACTACCCAAATAATCTGTAAATTGTTTGTGACATTTGTACTTTTCTCAATCATAATGAATTTTGTTTCCGGTGTTGCAGGTCTCCGAGGCCTGTTGAACCTAGGCAACACATGTTTCATGAACTGCATCATGCAGGCGTTGACACACACTCCGCTACTGAGGGACTACTTCCTGAGTGACAGACACGTGTGCCAACTGCAGGACACTCCCGGACACTGTCTGGTCTGCGAAATATCATCCTTGTTTCAAGAGGTAGGCCAAGTCACTGCTTTTCAGGTTCAGGGGCCTGTTTCATAATAAACTACAAACTAATATTATTAGTAAATCAGCTGATCACCCAATGCAAATCTAATGGAAATTACAAATTACAAGTTACAGCTTGTAACTTGTAGTTTATTATGAAACAGGCCCCTGGACGTACAATGAAGATACTTTTTCCATAGGAACGGTGTCTGTTTTATATGTTTGTAGATCATTATAAATTGATGGATACTGTTATGAATTTAAGATAAATGAACAAGTTAAGCAAAAAAATAGTAATATTTTCATTATTTTGTGTATTTATATAATTTATATTAGAATGAATTGGGCTAGTTTGTTAATCCAAAGGCAGCGACAGAAATAGAAATAAACTGGACTGGAAACAAAAAGTAGTTGGACTCAAGGAAGCAACAGGCATGAATAGTACAGCACAGAACAGAATTACAAAAGATCCAACAATAACTTGCAACTCAAATAATATTCAAAAGGAACATCAAATCAATTTTCTGGGATTAACAATAGATGAAAATTTGAATTGGGATAAGCACACACAGAAAGTTTTAACCAAAACTAACTCTGGAATGTTCGCATTATCAAAAATGTCCTTTTATTGTAATTTGAAAACCCTAAAAAGTATATATTTTGCACACATTCACTCCCATATTTCATTCGGTTTAGCATTATATGGGTCAACAAAAATATTAAATATGGATAGTATTCTGAAGCGACAAAAAGAAGCTATCAGAATTATGCTTAAGCTTAAACGAGATGATTCGGCAAAAGAACATTTTAAGAAATTACAAATTTTTACAGTTTATGGGCAATATATTTATGAAACAATTCTTATCGCAAAAAAAATTAATCTGAACAAGTAATAAATTCAGTGCATTCTTATAATTTTAGGAGGAGAAGGGAGTTTGTCCAGCGTCACAAATTAAAATTTTTTGAAAAAAAAACCCTCATATGCTGGTAATGATTTTCTAAAATTTGTCCCTGAATTCATAAAAAAAGAAACGAACCTATCTAAATTCAAGAAAATTCTAAAGGAGCATTTAATAAATCTAGCATTATATTCTTTTGATGAATTTTCCACCTCCCATAAATAGAAATAGTATTTTTATTTTAAGTATTCTGACACTATTCACTGTACCACCAATGTACATGATTTACGAATAAAGATGTTTGAATATGAATATGAATATGAATAGTCAGGGCAGTATTTGTTTCTATCTTGTTGGTTTTTCAGAATAAAATATTTAAATGAATCTAATTGAGAATTTGTAACAGATACCATTTGATTAGGAAACATTATGAGTTCCCAATTTATGTTACAGTTCTACTCAGGGCGTAAACCACCGTTGGTGCTGTCAAGGCTACTGCACTTGATATGGACACATGCTCGACACTTGGCTGGTTATGAACAACAAGACGCACATGAGTTCTTCATCGCCACTTTGGATCTACTTCACAGGTATAAGCTTGCATCAAACTAGATCAAAATGTGTATTGCAAGAAATAAACAGCATTTCTAAGTATCTAGATTCCCAAGTGTAAATTATTAAGGAGGCATTGAAACCTCAAGAGGTTTTTGAACGCAAAAATTCACCTCCTCTCTCTTCTTTCTCCTCTTCCCCCCTTTTAGCGAATATCCCTATAGGGAAGTAGCTATTACCGTAGGTGGCATCGTAAGACCTAGGCCCGGGACCGATTTGCTTTTTCATTTTGATGTCCCCAGAGGCCAAAAACACCATTCGTTCAAATTTTTATACAGGGTGTCACAAAAAAGTGTGATGGGCTATACAGGACCTAATTCTACATGCAAAAATAAGTCAAAAATGAAGAATAAATTTTTTTGGATTTCGGCTTAGTTTAGCCGTAATCCGCCATTTTGTTTTTTGGGGAAAATATTTATTATTTCAAAATCCCTTTGAGATATTTTTACGAAACTTGGCAAAATTGTTTACACTATAGTAAGTAACATTTATAAAAAAAATATTATTTTAACTTTCCAAATTTCAAAATGGCGGCAGTTTGAATTTTGTAATGCCAAAATTCATGAAAACCGTTAGGTACCTAAATCAAAATTTTGTAAGTCACAAAAGTTTTAGTATTTATTATGACAAATCCAACAAAACAAAAAGGAATAAAATCGGTTCATAAATAAAGAAGCTGTGTTTATTTTAGTAATTTAGACTGAAATTACTTAATACGTTACATAAATTATTACATTACATTTAATACATTTTAATATTAATAATTTCAGTCTAAATTACTAAAATAAACACAGCTTCTTTAATTATGAACCGATTTTATTCATTTTTGTTTTGTTGGATTTGTCATAATAAATACTAAAACTTTTGTCTCTTACAAAATTTTGATTTAGGTTCCGGTTTTCATGAAATTTGGCATTAAAAAATTTAAACAGCAGCCATTTTGAAATTTGGAAAGTTAAAATAATAATTTTTTTTATAAATGTTACTTACTATAGTGTAAACAATTTTGCCAAGTTTCGTAAAAATATCTCATTGGGATTTTGAAATAATAAATATTTTCCCCAAAAAACAAAATGGCTGATTACGGCAAAACTAAGCCGAAATCCAAAAAATTTTATTCTTCATTTTTGACTTATTTTTGCATGTAGAATTAGGTCCTGTATAGCCCATCACACTTTTTTGTGACACCCTGTATATGTATATATACAGGGTGAGTTTCTATTGGCCGTGTTAACTTCGCCAGTAGGTTCTACTCACTAAAAGGAACAAAAAAGTTCATATAAACCCATGTCCGATTTTCAACCGTTTGGCTGTAATAGGGGATTTTGTGTTTTTCTTATTTTATTAGACTTTGCTCCACAATTTATGTAATAAAAACTTAACCAATTACTTTAGAGAGTTATAGTTAAAATACTTGGAAAGAATATTAAATTTGCTATAAATCAAAAGTTTCATTCAAGAATTATACCATTACATAGTCCACGTTATATCCAAAATAAAGTAAAAATGTCATAAAATTAATTAATTACGATAATTTTCATGAGCCCACTTTGATACATAAAACTTCATCTATGCAATGTTGAAATGCATAAAAAACTTGGCCATTTAATAATCTTTCAAATGATATGCTATTCAATACTATTATTGATATAAACCAGTGAGAAATTACTAATAAACTACAATAAAACACGGTCTACAGATTTTGTTTTGACACAGTTTTTACTGTTAATAATAATTACTGTATTCATCATGTTGGCATACTCTTGATTAATAAAAGGCTCCATAGTTTAATAAATGTTGAGAAACTCTTAATTGACTTGGAAATATAAAGTTAAAACAGCAAATTACTCAACAAGGTATGTTTAAGCAGCTGAGTTATCTAGCTATAGATGACAAATCAATAAAAGCTGACTTAATCAAGCACAAGGTAAAACTAATTATACAGCATTTAAGAATCAAACACACTACATCTTTGAAAATGTGAAAAACCTTGAGTTTATACATTTTATTAATTCAGATAATTTTAATAAATATTTAAAAGTTAAAATAATGTACAAATCTGATCAGATTGTTCAATAAAATACAACATGGAGTATACAGTAATTATTATCAACAGTAAAACTGTGCAAAAACAAAATCCGTAAACCGTGTTTTATTGTAGTTTATTAGTAATTTCTCACTGGTTTATATCAATAATAGTATTGAATAGCATATCATTTGAAAGATTATTAAATGACCAAGTTTTTTATGCATTTCAACATTGCATAGATGCAGGTTTATGTATCAAAGTGGGCTCATGAACATTTTCGTAATTAATTAATTTAATGACATTTTTACTTTATTTTGGATATAACGTGGACTATGTAATGGTATAATTGTTGAATGAAACCTTTAATTTATAGCAAATTTAATATTCTTTCCAATGATTTTAACTATAACTCTCTAAAGTAATTGGTATATTTTTATTACATAAATTGTGGAGTAAAGTCTAATAAAACAAGAAAAACACAAAATCCCCTATTACAGCCAAACGGTTGAAAACCGGACATGGGTTTATAGGACCTTTTTTGTTCCTTTTAGTGAGTAGAACCTACTGGCAAAGTTAACACGCTAAGTAGAAACTCACCCTGTATATACATATGTGTGTCCGTGAACGCGATAACTTGAGTAATCTTTGTCCGATTTTGATGAAATTTGGTTTAAAGGTGTAAAGCGGGATAAACTTAAATGAGTTCGCGAACTAGCATGATCGGACAATGGGAACGGGGGTTCATGGGGGGTTTTATGGGGTAAAAAAAGGTTTTTCTCATTTTTGACCCTAAAACACAAAATTTCACGATTTCTTTCTAAACCATTTTCTAGAGCTTAAAAAAACAAATGATTTAGTATATTGAAGCGTTATTATTTGCCAAATGAATACAGAGAAAATTCAAAAATATTGTAATTTTTAAATTCCCATGTTATTCTTATTATGGAGGTAAGTCAATTGTTGTAGTTTGCTCGTTTATGAACATATTTTGATCAAATTTGGAAAATACATTGATTTCTTACTAAACTACAGTACCTATTAACATTCTACATAAAAAACACTTTTTATCCTCCCTGTTGCAGCAAACCTAAGTATTCATTAAACTAATTCTATTTAAATTGGGAATAAATGTGATATTTCTAAGGAGAAAATTTAGTGGAAATCCAATGAGGCAAATGGAAATTCGCTAAGCCTGCAGGTTTGCTGCGGCGGGTGTATTTTCCCCCAGTCTTGCAATGTCTTTTATTTCCTTATATTTCCATATTATCATTGATCTACCATGGGGTGGTGGTATACATTTATTTTGGATTTTGATAATCATTTGGATCTTATTAGTTTTCCTAGGGTCCATCGTCCTTTTTACGTACAACTAGGTAATGCAAATTTCACTTTTTTGCATTTATTCACTATAACACTTGGATATTAAAACACACTTACTGAATTGCAAATTGAAAACTAAATTATGTAGAAATATTTGTATTTCTAATTTATGCAAAATTAGTCTATAGAAACAAGATTCACTATTAAGAGTCCTTGGAGGCTAGTGACCATCTTTGATAATTTTAAACAGTTGCTGAAGAGTTATTTATTGCCCAAAAATACTTGTTCAATCTCCAAAGTGGTTATAATTTAAATATCTAGAAAACTGTTAGATAAGAAATGTTCTTTGTAGTTTTGAATTGATTGTTCTCCAAGGGAGTCGATGGAAGCTAACGGCCATCTTGTATTTGTCCGCCATGAGAGCAATGTTTTTTCTGGTAATTTCAAACAGTCACTGAAGAATTATTTACCATATGTTAAGCAAATTATATCATACTAAAAGCTAGTTTAGAAGTTTAGCGTCGGCTGCTAGACTTTTTAAAAATTAAAACTTAATTTCTAAAAAACTGGGACCCTAAACTAAAATTATGGCTTCGACATTCCCTAGTTCTCATAATTATCTTTCTTTCAACACAAAAATCATGAAAATCTGTCAAGTGGTTGATTCAGAATCGTGAAATAAAAAAACCCTGTTATGTTTTAATATTATAGATTCTCATAGGTGATATCAATATAGACTGCTTGGAGCCAAGCCTTGAAATGACAAAACTAAACGAAGTTCTTCTTAGCAACAATATGATACTGCTCCCCCTGCATCCTACAAGAATAACACCTACTACAATAAGCTCAATCGACTGTGTCTGCAAAAATCTAGGCAATGATGATATTCAGGTTGACGTTCTCAATGCCGGACTATCAGACCACACAGCATAGCTCTGCAAATTAAATACCTCTGCCCCAGAAGCTCAGAATCAAACCTTCTATTCGAGGAGATTCAACCAAAGGAATGTCATGCACTTAAAATCTATTCTTGCCCAAGAAACCTGGGAAAGTGTCTTCAATGAACATCAAACAGAGGACACCTATCGGAACTTCAGCAAGATTATTGCAGGAGCTATTAACCAAACCTGCCCAATGGTAAAGTCGAGGAAAAACCCAGAAAACGTCCTATAGCAAACCACGAAGCTGAGGTACTAAAGCAATAATTTCTACAGGCTCTGAACAAATACCTACTGAGTGGAACAGAAGAGAACAAAATTACAATGTCAAATAAGAAAAAAAGATTACGACCTGAAACTGAAGACACTAAGACGACAGGCCCTCAGCAGTCCAAATACAGCAAGCTGATGATAAAACCAAAGCACTCTGGAGGGTCATCAACAGAGAAAGAAAGCCGACTCGAGACACATCAGAACAATCAATCACACTAGAAATAAATGGCCTCAAAACCAACAATCCTCAAAATGTTGCTAATCGCCTTAATGAGTTCTTCGTTAACATAGCTAATGACACCCTTGCACAAAATCCTCAAAACCAAAATCAGTCATCTGAAATCACAGAGGTACACTGTCAGACACATGAGATGTCTCTTCAGTTAACTAACAAACAGGAACTGACTCAAGTGATCAACACCCTACCCTACCTAAAAAATAAAACATCTGCTGGAGTAGATGATATGTCCGCCAGTCTATAAAAAAAACGTAAAGAAGAACTTGCTGGATCATTAACATACATCATCAACCGTTCTTTCCAAGAGGGAATTTGCCCAAGTGGGCTTAAAATTGCAAACGTATACCCAAAATTCATGATAGGAAACCATTAGACTCAAAGAACTACCGCCCAATTTCATTAATTTCCACATTCTCCAAAGTATTCAAAAAAATATTACTAAACAGACTTCTTCAACACCTATCATCCAATGAACTGCTCACACCACATCAGCATGGATTTGTACAGGGAAAATCAACCACATCTGCCATAATAGCGCTAACTGAATATGTAATAGATAATCTAGAAGAAGGAAACATGCCAACCACAATTTTACTTGATTTTAGCAAAGTATTTGACTGCTTAGATCATAAGAAAAATTGGGATTGGTGGGAAAACTGCAGAATGGTTCAAGAGCTATTTAACTGGAAGAAGTCAGATGGTTGAACTTAAATACACTGAAAAGGGGTTCACAAACAGTAAGATCAAAGTTATTACCTGTATAGTAAGGGGTGTTCCACAGGGTTCTGTGCTGGGTCCCATCCTTGTTTACAAATGATCTCCCTCACTATTTGGAAGACTACAGCATGACTCTTATGTATGCAGATAATACCGTACTCCTCCTTGGAGGAAAAACCCTGAAGCCCTTGAAATCTGCTCGTTTGTTTCCATAAACATGGAAATACAATATTGCCAAAACAACAGCCTAGTAGTTAATGAAGAGAAAACACAACTGGTCTTTGGCAGGAGAAATGGTGGGGTATGCAGGATCCCAGACATCGAAGGCCCAGAAGAAGCAAAGTATTTAGGTTTAATAATAGACCAGAAACTGACATGGACCCCCCCCCCATATTGACAGCCTGTGTAGTAGCTGAGTAGCAGTGTCTACGTGATAAGAAGGATAAAAACCATAAGTGACACCAACATAGCCAAGATTGCCTACCACTCACTGTTTGAATCACATCTTCAATATGGCCTTGAAGTATGGGGAGGGGAAACCCATCGGCACCCACCTCCAACGTCTGCTTATCCACCAGCAAAAAGCAGTAAGAATATTAGCAGACATTAACAAGAGAGGAAGTCACAGACCGAAATTCCGTAAGCTAAAAATCCTAACGATTACAAGCCTGTATATTCTAGCTGTGGCTATCCTAGCAGGCTACAGCTCCAATGAGGTATGGATAGGCACAGCCATAACATCCGACAGGCTATGAATTACACACTTCCAGTCCATCATCTAACTCTTTTTGAAGAAAATCCTTCCTACATGGGAGTGAAGTTCCTGAACCTGCTACCAGAGACAATAAAAGGCCCCAGCATAAGCAGCACCAGACAACACTTATCGGCTTGGCTCGTGGAGAGACCATTCTACACAGTTGAGGAGTTCATGAACTGGAGAACATCACCGATGTTCCATTGAGAAATAAACAACCATCATAGTAATAACCATCACTACCGATAGCGCCTCAAAGCCCAAAACCTTTATGCTCTTTTATATTTAATTCTCTGTAATGTTTTACGCCTATTCTGTACTCTATGTTCAAGAATGAAGTATTCTGATTCTGATTCTTAACATCCTTGTCTTGTAACAAAATGGTTTCTTGTGTCTTTAATTTTGACAAAATGTTTTGTATTGTATTACGATAAATTTGACAAGCATCAATTAATTAATCTTACAGTACTTAAGTTACTAAAATAAGAATTTGTAATGACCCTTGCCTACAACTATAATTTATTCCACTGAAAGTATTTGACGTAACCATGTTTTGTGTTTATTTGTGACTTTTCTATCAATACAAAAAAATTGACATAAATGTAGTTTATTTTATAAATAGTGCAAGTACGACTTCAAAATATGGATTATACAATTCCAAATGAACAGCAATTATTTATGTTATGTTTTTAGGGATTGCCCGTTTTAACCGACCATTTGAGTTATCCGAACTAGGTTCGGTCCCATTAGGGTCGGTTAAGAGGGGGTCTACTGTATATGTTATATATGTGTCCGTTAGCGCGATAAATCAGGCAAAAGTGATCCGATTTTGATGAAATTTGGTACAAGCGTGCTAACCTACGTTTATTCGATCGAGTTAGTGAACCTGCATAATCGGACCTTGGAAACCGAATAAATGGAAATTCACTTAGTCTGCAGGTTTGCTGCGGCGAGGGTATTTATTATTAAGAAGGTTATCTATAATTAAAGAAAGGTAGTAAATAGTAAACGTTTGATAGAATAATGCTCACAGTTTTCTTTGTAAGTTATATTGTAAGCTACAGGTAAAGAAGCTTACCGGTAACTAAAATATTTAGGCTTGACTAAACACATCAGCTCCACTTAGTCACTGCGTAATGGTTGTCTGAGAGAGTTAAACCCATTATCTCAATGTCAAGAAAATAATTTTACTCACTAATTGGTTAAATTAAGTTTTAATTCTAAAATTAATAATAAGATGTGTAACTATTTTATCCAGTAGATCTAAAGAACAACAATATTCTTTACCACGTTCTCCTCTGTTGTGAAGCACGGATATGGCAGCTCGTATAGATACAAAATCCTAAATAAATAAGACTGTCATTTACAGGCACTGCACAGCAAAGACATTGTGCCAAACACCACACCATTGCAGTTGTATCATTGACCAGATATTTACAGGAGGGCTACAATCGGATGTTGTCTGTACTGCTTGCAGGTATGTTGATATTTTGAGTTCTATAAATAAGACACGTTTTTAACTAACATTTCTCATAAATCTACATTGAAGAAGTCCTACTCTAGGACCGAATATCAATGTTTAGTTTTGTTTTAATTAGTGAAAATTGGATCAAGTTAATTAATACCAAAATAAATTGGACTCTCCTAGTGATGTAACAGATCAGCACTACGAGGTAAGACACAAACATCCCACCTTCTCCGTTAAACGACAATTTTTGTTGTCTGTGTGGACTCGTTCAGTTTTATATGTCGCCAAAACCACATATTTTCAGATTCTACGACATACAGTCCCCTCCCTCCATGTATTTATTCCCTCATGCTTGACTGAGAAGATTTCAAAATAAACCCAAATGATGACATATCAAACTCCTCCCTCCCCTATTTAACAATATATAGATACTGCCCAAATAACTGGAACTAAAACGGTTTTAAACCTTGCCACAGTAAACTCCTACAAACTCGGCAGCCGATAACCCGGATTTCTTGGTGAACCTGTAAAGAATTTTTACGCAAGTTACACAAAACCCTTTAAACACAAAGGCATGGTGGTGTATTTACAATACTGAAAGTTTCCCTGGTGGATAACTAGGCTACCTAACTCAGTGTCATTAGCCCACACAGTCAATAGTCAGACCACAACCATAAAAACATCAATGTATTTTCTTAAATAATTCACATATATATTCCGTAATTTAATGTCTTAGTTTAAGATCTTTGCCCTTCTAACCAGTCACTTGGCATTTCTCAAACTCTGCACCCTTTTGGTTCACATTATGCTAAGGTTATGGAACCATACTGCACCAAAAGTTTTTCTCGTAATCCCCAGCTCATTTTTGTTGTAGTGGAGTGTCGACAACTATCGACCCATTCTGGGACATCTCGCTAGACCTGGCTATCAGTGGAGTGGGCACCTCGCTGTCACTGCTAGAATGTCTGCAACAATTCACTCGGGCTGAGCATCTCGGCACAACAGCCAAGATATGGTGTAGCAATTGTGATACTTACCAGGAGAGCACTAAACAGCTCACGTTAAAAACACTTCCTGTGGTCGCCTGCTTCCACCTCAAGGTGCGTCACTAGGCTATCAGCATGTGAGGTTAGTGTAATATGTTTCAATAGTGCAGACATTGTAAGTGAGGTCAAGAGTAGGGGAATAAGAAAGGCAGGTACGGGGGGGGGGGGGGAATCAGGACCACGATTATATGGGGTAATGGGGAGGGAGGAAGACCACACGGATCACGGATAACTGAACACCAAGATTATTCCAACATGACATTAACATGTTGTTGCCCATAAAAACGAGCAATACTGTATAAATTACCCAAATTACAACAAACTATACTTTCTTCACAATATTTAGAAGGTATGAGTTCCCCCACCATAGTTTTGTATTTAATGTATACTAGTGTACCTGTTGCTCGAATTCGAGCAATTGCTAAGTATTACAGGCGTTATTTTAAAATGAATAACACTCATTTTAAAATAACGCCTGTAGGTGGGTTTCTATGACTTTCCTATGTTTCCATAGTTTGCAAATCGGCTCTTTCAATGATTACTAAGAAATGCAGCACAGTCAGTGTTAATTCAGTTTTCTTCTTAGTATATCAATTTATCCAGGCTCTTTTGCTTTTTTATATTGTAATAATTACGCCAACCTAAATTCAAATACAGTATTAAATATTTCTTTTCAACCAAGTAAGTAAATGTTTGTAGCAAACTGTTAAATTAGCAGACTTATTGACTGTTTACAATATTGACATATGCTCTTCTTCTCACTTTTAATACATCACAGCTGGAGTTTCATAACAATATTTGTTAATCCCATGTTAATCTTATGGAGAAATACGAAACTTTAAAGGGCTCCAGGGCCTCACTCTCTAATTATTTCCCTAAAAAGAATGTTTCCTGCACAACTTCACGTTACGCTCTTTCCAATGACACCAAAAACATGTCAATCGGTTAAGTAGTTTCGGAGGAGTAATTGTGTCAAAAAACCTGCTTGCGTATTAAATAAGTATAGATAGATTGCTGAATCAGCTGTTGAGCTATTATTTTAAAAGGTAATGGTGAAGTGGAGGGGATAGATTTCTTCCCCTAAAACCACCTAAATATTGTGAAGAACCAAGTATAGTATCATGCAATCATGATATGTTAAGTCATTAACCTTGGTTCAGATATAAAAACCATAACGATTAAAATGACAATTTACCCAAACAAAAAAATTGCGAAACACTGTGTACTGCAAATTAATCAGTATAGAACAGAACAATAGAAGGTCAAGTAAGCTAGAGCCAAATGCTTTTTCAGGACAGAAGAATATTTATAAAACATTAGCCAATTCGCAAAAAAAAATGTAAAATAATAGTACTTAATTATACAGGCTGACCTGTAAGTAAACAGCCAAACTCCAGGAAATGGTTCTATGGGTAAAAATAAAGAGAAAATAAAGAATAACATTTTTTTCCAAAATCGCTTCGTTAACCAGATATCCGCCATTTTGTATTTTTTTACATAAATATTTTTATTTTTGAATTTTTTCAACTGATCTTTATAAAACTTGGTATGTAGGTTGAAGTAGAAAATGTTATGTTAGAATGTTAGAAAAAAAATTCATCTTGATTCAAATTAAAATTTCAAAATGGATTTTACAACTAAAAATCGTAATATTTCAGCTATTTCTCATTTGATCTTTTTGAACTTGGTATCGTTTGATAGGGAATTAAAAATGCTAAATAAAAGAGTGTTCTTGACATTTTTTCATAAAATTAGCAGTTTTTGAGTACGGTAATTTAAGTTTAAAAATTAAAATGGCCGCCATTTTGAAATTTTAAGTTGAATCAAGATGAACTTTTTATTAACATTGGTGTTTTCAACAAAAATTTTTGGGATCGTGTATTCCCGATCATTGCACTCTGGTTCATCGGGTACTGGTCAAAAAAGAACTAGCTTACCTGATGGAAAAACTGGTCTCCCACGATCGGGTGTCTCAGTGCAATACTCGACAGGAAAAGCTGTTTCACTACCCGAGAGTGAGGCTGGAGATTGGCAGGAGAGGCTTTCCATACTTTGGGCCGAAGTTGTATAATGACCGCCCCTGTGATCTTAAGTTGCTGGGTGTTCCAGCCTTTAGCAATAAGCTAAAAGAAATGTATAGAAAGGACCTCAAATTTTGTAAATAGATTATGTACTTTTTGTTATTAGTTTTATTTAGTATTAGTAATTAAATTGACAAGAGTTATCCTGTAAAGCAGTATGTACTGAGGAACGCTTGCTAAATAAAGGCATTTTTATTTATATTATTTATTTATTTATTGGGATGGGATTGCACTTGATACGGGATTTTCTTGGTGGGTGATTCGCTCTAGCCGTTGGCGATTTTGCTGCGTCGTGAGTGATGATGATGACGTTTCAGCACTTGCAAAAATTATTGTCAGTATTAAGGCTGAGGATGATGTCTCCACAATTGTGAGAGATGTTCACGATGATTCCGCAAACCCAGGAGACAATGATGATATCTCCGAGACAACTATGACGGGACTGATTGCTATATAGGTGTGGCAATGGCTGGAACAGTAGTCTATAAAGTCAAGAATGTGATTCTGGTGTTAGATTAACAAAAAAACTCAAAAATTAAATTCTGTTATAATTATGTATAAAAAACACTACTTTTGAAGTTCTAATTTGTTTTTTACAGAGGTTTGAGCACTCCAACAGACTGCACAAGAAGATATCAACGGAGGTGGTGTTTCCTCAGGAGCTTGACATGAGTCCCTTCATGTCTCACAAACGCAACACACACGTCTCCCACATTCCTTCCACCCTAGAGGACTACAGGTAATGAACTGTGTTGGCCTATAGGTTGTTGTTAGGGGTTCCCTGTCATTATTGTTAGAGTGTTAATTTGTTGCTGGTTCCCCGTCATTTGTCCGGGAAATCTAGGTCCAGGTTCAGTCCGGGAATAATTTTCAGGCCAAGGTCGGGTGAAGTAATTATTTTAGAATTAAAAAAGAATTTTTTTCTCGGTATGAGAGCACTGAGAGCAGTTTGATTTTTGAGCTGAATCAGGCTGAGCATATATTTTTAATTATTATCATGACAGCAGAAAGCATCTTCAAGGATTGCAAAATAAAGAATGTATGATTTCACAACCACAGGAGACATTTAAGAAATTAAGATTTTACTCAATCACAGGAGATGTTCATAATTTCACTGTGACCATGACTGAGAGATCTTCCTGAGCACAAGTTTGCTGCTACAACAGTAAAAAGTTCACCATTTCTCAGTGATCACAGAAGGCATTCACGATTTTGCAACCACCACGGGAGATGTTCACAATTTGTTGCGACTGCAGAATACGTTCACGTTTTTCTCGCAATCGCAGGGGATGTTAATAATAATGCCTGAGTTATACTTGCCCAAAGAGATGTTTATGATTTCACCACAATTTCTGGAGATATTCGGGATTTCACCACAATTGTAGGATAAATTCCCAATTTTACCACAAGTGCAGGAGATACTTTATTATTGCTTAATATTGTTGTTTTAGTGGAAATATTTTACAAACCAATTGTAGGATATCAATTAATACTTTTTAAATCAATACTTTCCAAAGCAACCTGATTTTGGCCCGACCTAATGGCTCAGGCAAGTATAATTGCATACATTTCTGATGTTTGGCTGTGTGTCAACACAGTACCACTAAACAACAATTGGACTGTAGCATAACAATAATTTGTGCCATACTAACTGTTTCAAATGAATGTTTTCTCAAAAGTGTTTAACAAAATATTTTAAGACCTCAGTAAGTTCAGTTGGATTTAGGTTAGTCAGTTCCTCCATGTATCAAAGTTTGTTTTCAGGTCATGGTATTTTTGATGAAATAGTATATCAATAAACAGTACTAACAGTGAATGCGTTTTCAGGTATTCTCTGTTTGCGGTGATTAATCATGAAGGGTCACTGGATACAGGCCATTACACAGCATACATCAGACAACAGCATAGACACTGGTACAGTCTGTTACAAATCTGTTGATTATTTTACTTTATTACTAATCTTCCTGTTTTGTGGAAATGTGTCATAAGAAAATGGAGAAATCCAATTTTGATTACGCTGATAGGTTGCTCATGACCAACCGTCAATACAAACTGTTTCAAACATCAGCCCGCTTTCACATTTTAAACTATTGTTTAATGTATAGTATTACTGAGCCAGTGTAGGGTTAAGAATACAGAAGTGGTCATTCATTTTCTAGACCTAGATGATATTTTGCTCACATCTCCGATATTTTACTTTGCCTCACCAATGTTACTTACATATTTTAAGAATTATCTAAATACCAGCTGGCCCGACAGACTTTGTCCTGTCCTAATGTGGTTTTATGTCAAATGCTCGTTCATTTTCAAGATGAGCTCGTTCGCATGGCTCAATCACGTCCTGGTTGAAGTTCGTTCGCTACGCTCACTCACCTTTAGGTTGGAGCTTGTTCGCTGCACTCACTTGCCTTCAGGCTAGCTCGTTCGCTACGCTAACTCACCACCAGGTTGAAGTTCGTTCGCTTCACTCACTCACCTTTTGGTTGCAAATTAGCTGTTGTCATAAATTTAAAAAAATAATAGTGCTGCACCCTGTAGGTAAACCTATTAAATTTCTAATGCTAATGAACATCACAAAATAAAATTCTTTAGTTGAACCAGCAGTTAAGATTCTTTAATTTTATTTAAATATGAATACTCATATGGTTAACATGGGAAACTCCAGAGCCACTGGGGCGGAGCCCTTTTGAGGGATCTGCACACAAACCATCCTTGAATAATGCTTAATAATACCTGAAAGTTTCATTACAATCTGTCGAGCGGTTTCGGAGTTAATAAAGGACAAACAAACAAACAAACAAACAAACATACATACATACAAACTAACATACATTGGATTTTATATATATAGATATAAAGGCAAAGCCCTCACTGACTCACTCACTCATCACTAATTCTCTCACTTCCCATTTACCTAGGAGGCTGAAATTCGGTACACCGACTCTTTGGGCTTTAAATAGGAAAACTAAGTAGTTTTTATTCTGATCGGGCTTTCGGACTCCGCCCCAGTGGCTCTGGAGTTTCCCATGTTAACCTTATGATTTTTCATATCTGAAAGGAATTAATGAATCTTAACAGCTGTTTCAATTAAACAAGTTGGTTCTGTTCTATGATGTTCAATAGCATTAAAGTTACAAGGATTACCAACAGGGTGCAGCACTAATATTTTTTAAATTTATGACAACAGCTAATTTGCAACCAAAAGGTGAGTGAGCGTAGTGAACGAACTTCAACCTGAAGGCGAGTTAGCGTAGCGAACGAGCTAACCTGAAGGCAAGTGAGCGCAGCAAACGAGCTCCAACCTAAAGGTGAGTGAGCGTAGCGAACAAACTTCAACCAGGACGTGATTGAGCCATGCGAATACTTATGAAGTTAAACGGGGCAAAGCCCGCAGGTACAGCTAGTCTCACTATAAATGGTAAAGTTTTGGTACATCTGTTCAACACAATTTGTTGGTAATACTCTTAGGAAAAAATGTGTTTATGACTCGGAAAATTTTTTTAAACCAAAATTTAGTTTCAATTAATTAATATTGTTGTTTTACGAATTTAAGTTTCAATTAAGTAATATTGTTGTTTTACTAATTTGTTAGAAGGATGGACAACAAACTCACCTAAAGAAAGAGTCCTAAGAAGTTAAAGGTACAATAAAAAAGAAACACATTTTAAATTAAACTGATATTTCTCCCCTTTCAGGGCTTCTTCAGAGGTAGAATGGGAAGTTGAAGTAATTCTACCTCTGAAGAAGACCCTGAAAGGGGAGAAATATCAGTTTAAATGTGTTTCTTATTTGTGTATCTTTAACTTCCTGGGTCTCTTTCTTTGGCACCGTTAGCTGTGTAAAGTATTGATCCAGTAGTCCAGTGTGAGCTCAGCCTCGCACGGGGAACGTTGTTTCGCTTGCCGCTTGTTGTGCCAGTTTTATACTTCAATCCGGAATAATTTGTTTCCACTGTTCCAAATTTAGTGTAGTGTGGGGTTTTGTCTTGGATTTAGTGAAATTGAATAGAATAACGATAATTACTGTAGTGTAGCATTGTGGAAGGAACCTAACCTCAAAATTGTGCTTGACACCTTTTTTGCGGTATTTTAAATTGAGTATTCAGGTTTTTCGCCCCTGCTTTTTCCCCGCATTTGGGAAGTACTGAGGACCTACTAGCAGCTTTGTTTAGTGCTACTATCTGTTTGGTTCTTTTAAATTACGTCAACAACGACTGGAAAGCAGTACATGCTACAATATTCTCTCATTTGGATCAAAAACTCAATTTAAACATTTTCGTGCACTCAACTTTGCAGCACATTAGCCACCGGCCATCGCGCAACCACAATGAACGTGTTAACAAGTTCTTAAAGCCAAGTTGCTTTTCCTCTTTAAAAACTACTCTTATTGTTGTTTTAAGTAACTTTAAGAATTATTATGACCAAGGATAAGGATCAGCTAGCTTATCTGGTCAATATAGTCCTACCATTAGGATTAACTAACTTTTGGGAATGTTTCCTACATTGTGGACTATAGATGTGCTGTAATTTACTAGTTATTGTAATTTAATTGGTAAAACATCTAATATTTGTCTTTTGTTTGCTTTTTCGCTTTAACTGTGTTTGCAATCAATTTTGTTTTTTTTTTTATTACCAAGGCAGTGAAAGGTGGGAACGGAGCAAGTGCCGTTCTATTCTTTGCCGTGGGGATTATGAACTGTCAAAACCGTCAGATAGGCCCGAGTGCCGTTTGACTCCCCAGAGCGTAAGAGTGATTCAGGGTAAGGGTATTGGTAATAGTGGAAGGGGGTGTAGTGGGCAGGATGTAACGGAGACCCGGTACATTTTTTTCATAATTGGCAAGGTTAGGTTAGGATATAACAGTTTTATTTTATTCATAAAACAAACAATGCTCACCGTCCCTGATCGATCTTTCCACCCCATACCCACCGCAACGTAGAACCGGTCACTGATACCTGGCCGGCACTCGCCCTGGCAAGCCTCAGGCTGTAAAATGACCCTCGTCAACGTGTTTACTGTTCAACGTGTTCAACTGTACAACGTGTCAACGTGTTTTCAAGGTAATTTACCTATGTTCCAGGTACAAGTGTGATGATCACATGATCACCAGAGCTCACATCAGTCAAGTATTGGACAGTGAAGGGTGAGTCATTTTATCAAATGTAGGAAATGTATTACTAGTTACTGAAAATGATATTTCAGTTGGTAGTATCTGCATCTGCATATCTCTTGTGGGAGTATTGGTAGTAGTTGGCCTGTGTCAAATTGCATGTAGAAATATTATAAATGAGAGAATAATAATTATTGAGAAGAACATTTATGGTGAAAATAGAGAAAAAGAATGTTTGGTCTAACTAACTCAAGCTGTAGAATTGCGTTTCTATAATCAATTATGAGCGGTAGCATTATTCTTCTTGACATTCTTAGCCTTAAGCAAAGTAGCAGGGTAAAACAACCAGTATTAACGTAAATATTTGCAATATATATACTACTTGAGTTTAGGCAAGAAGGTGTTATTAGTTGGAATAAATAGCCAATAAAATATCCATAAGTATGAGTTAAAGATCTGTTATTGTAATTTCTAACCCTTTCAACTTATCTATAAAACTAGTTAACCCCACCATATATGCAACATTGATATTGGAATTTTATTTGTTTTGTTTCAGCTATCTACTCTTCTACCACAAACAGATTTTGGAGTATGAATAGAATGTTTGAAACAACAATTGATCGTTACACTTTCCACTTTCTTTTATACTGAATCCAATAATTAAAAAATTTGTTTAACCCTTAGGGTGTTACGAGAAGAAAAAATTCACTTTTAATTAATCATACCATTTTTAAAAAGTGTAAGATCTTGCCCAACATTATTTTTTAAATTATATTGTCACAAATAACTTTCTGGTGACAAGCATTCAAACGTTTCATTGTTGGCTGTAAGGTACACATTTTGTATACTTACTGTCACCTGAACCAAGTACAAGATTGTATCTTTGACGATTTTATACAGTCAGCTAGCAAGCATGTAATATATTAAGAATTAATGTGGATAATCACAGATTAGTTAGCTGTCAAGTTGTTTGTATGTGTCGCTAAATACGTCAAAACGTCAATACAAATGAAATATGAAACACATAACTAACTTTTTTATCTGGAATATCAAAATATTTTTGAATTACGAGTATAGAACCAAAGTAGTGGTTTTACAAATTATTTTAAATTGGAAGCTGAAACTGCCGATGTAACAAAATGTATTTTCATTGTGATATTAATTATTTAGATTGTAAGTTAGATTATACGTGTATTATGTTCCTAATACTAAGGCGACTCCTTTCTACAGGAATCAAGCGCGATCTACATTTTTTCTAACTTGAGCGGTGCATGTAAGTATGTTGATATTGTAAATGTATTTTAATTGTAAAAGTCTGTTTTTAGGATCTTACACTTTGTGTGTTGACTGATTTTGTATTTATTTTATAGTCATGGAAAATAATATCAGAATGTTATTTTAAAACCCCAGTTGCGTTATTGGTGGATCTATTTAGATCTTTGATTAATTTATACTTAAATCATAACTAAGTAATTACTATGTAATGGTGTGATGTTTAGTGTCTAAATCATATGAGTGTTTTGACTGCATAACATACTTTTTTGTATACTAAAGGAATATATTATTTGGGATACCGTTTTGTATACAACAGAACTTGTGCTGATGCTTATGGTAAACAGTCTTCCTATTTCTTGATAGAGAGTTTCCCCCGATAAGTAACAATATTGTTTCTAATCAACATGGTGCTATCTAGACTTTCAACAGCTGTGATAACTGTTCACTCCAAGGTACTCAAATGCTAAGCACCAATTTTGTTAAAATTTTAACATATTATTTACAAAAGTTCAGTAGCTTATGATGTTTCAAAACTAGAACTAGCTGTTCCTGACCAATGTGCAAAAATGAGTCTGGATAATGTACCAGCTGGTTTAAGTCAATAACAAGGCTTTCATGTAATTCATTCAATCGTTAAAAGTACCATTTGCCTTAAAATACACATGGGTGTAATTTTGTTTATATAGTTCAAGTAGAATTCTAAACTTACTTTAAAATCTGAAGCCTGTTTTTATTTTGTCTTAATATTTTTTTATTGTTTTTATTTTATTATGTCTCATGCTGGTAATATGTTTGCTGATGTTGACAAAATTTTTCTCTTTTATTTTATGGTGGATTCAAAAATGTATGCGCTACAGTTTGATTTTATAATCAAAGGGGACCGACTTCAATGTAAACTTTCTAACACATTAACTAAATAACGGCTAAACATATTTAAGCCAAACTTACCAAGGTTGTGTTGTCAAATGTTTGGAAGGTTTAGACAAAAACAATTTCAATTTTTGATAATGCCTATATATAAAGATTTAAAAGGAACTCAAAGTTTTTAAATTTTAACATTGGCCTTAAGGGTTGCCATGATGGTTACAAAATAACAAGGTAAATGTAAACAAAACAAAGAATCATAGCATATTTTAAAATCAAAATCAAGCCACAACCTAAACACAGTACAAAAGAAAAAAATTCAGATGATGAATACTGATCAAATAATACAGAGAAAGTCTTAAGTCAAATTTAGTTGTTTTGTGTTGCTCGACTTTTGATTTAAGTTGTAATCTGGAAACGACCGCTGATCGAATGAATAGTTAGAGTATTTACAGATTTGATTTACATAGCTAAATAAGGTTATAACAAATAACATTTATCTTATGTTGTTGGGAATTAAAACAACTACATGATTCTGCAGTTTTACATAAAAATGTATTCTCAAATCAATAGTTTTATCTAGATATGCTATTATGAACATGCTTTCTTATTATTTACTTTGAAATATTTTTTATGATATCATCGTGTTGGCAACACACTTGTTCTATTGATTGTTGTGTTGGCAAAGACTTTGTCTATATTATTGCCCAAGAAGGATAAAGTATTTTTTGCGTTTTCATTTTACAAAAAAATTCCTAGTTCACATAAGAGTGTCATATTAATGAAAGAAAATTTCACAATGCATTCTCAAAAACTGCCTGATATTATTTGTAGAAAATGAAGATGAGCAATAAACAACAGAAACGTACAAACAATTACTTCTGGCAATGTTTTGAGATAGTGGAATGTAGAACACTTGCTTGAAAACAATGCTTTTCATAATTATGTTAAATGTACAAAATTTTAGAAAACAAACCTCATAAGGTATGGTGATAACTATTTGTGCAATTCTCTCAAAGCACGCAAGCCTTTAAAAAGTTACATCTGCTATTCGTATGGATTCATGCAGGATTATTTCTGCCTGAACTGCAAAATCTGGCCAAGATTAAGAAAGTGCGATTGGTTTAGGTTCAAGGTCGGGTTCAACCTGAACTGTGGGTTCACCAGATGACATTAGCAAACCAGAAAAAGCAAACACAGGAAAAATACCGATACAAAGGATATGTATGTAACGTCCACATATTTACTTATGCAACTATTTACAATTTCTTGATGGATAGCCCCTAGATCATTAAAATTAGCAGAATATGGTTTATGTTACCTTTCCTAAAATGATCCTGTGTAGTTGTAAAACACGACAGCTGTTTCGTGCTACAATGAGCACATCTTCAAAGTGAAGAAACACAAAATCAACTCATTTAGCCCGCGGTTGAGCGCGTCAAAAAACACATAAAGTACATGAAGTTCACACAAAAACATATTACAAATACTTGGCCAAGTACCGCAAACACACGACGCAGCACCGGTAATGTGTAGGTCATGACTGGCGCGTGGTCACGGTGGTATCGGTGTTATAAATAATATTCAATTTGAATGACAGCTGCTCATTCAAGATATGGTCAGGATGTTCTCTAGCTGCTCTATAGATTTCAAATTCTTCTATTGTATCCATGCGCCTCTTGTTGTTGCAAAAATGCATGACTTCCAAATTTGTTTCTATGTCAGTGTAGTTATGGTTGTGGTTAATGAGATGGTCGGCGAAGGCGGATTTGTTGTTTCTTTTTGGTAAGTGTTCTTTAAATCTGGTTTTAAATGAACGAGCAGTTTGCCAGATATAAAAACGTGGTCACATTTGATTTTATAAATTCCTGTGCCATTCACTTTACTAGGGGATTGTTCTTGGTCTGTTGAAGGATGTCTTAAGAGGATTACCAAAGATTCATAAACCTAATGTACCAATAAGGCCCCTTGTCAATTTTAGGACATCCCCTGCATACAAGATCTCGCAAAAAATAGATAAAATAATCAGGAGAGAAATAGTTCTTGAAAATGATTATAGCGTAAAAAACACTGTAGACTTAGTTAACAAATTAACAAACATTGAATTAAAAGGATCATACATGCTCGCATCCTTCGATATCGTTAATTTATACTCCAACGTGCCTGTTAGAGAAACAATCCACATCCTAGAAACTAACTTACATAAAAATTCTTCTTTGTCGACAGTTGCTAAAAGAGAACTAATCAAATTAACAGAATGCATCTTAAATCAAAATTACTTCACATTCAATGGCCAATTTTACAAACAGAACGAAGGACTAACCATGGGCTGCCCTCTGTCGAGTATTTTATCAGAATTGTTTATGAACCACATAGAGAATGAATTTTTATGGTCTGAATTTTTATAGAAACTGAGAACAATAAATCTATAAATTTCTTAGATGTATTAATAACCAGAACAGATAAAGGAATTAATTTTGATATTTACAGGAAGCCAACAACGACGGATCAGACAATCCATTCATCCTCACACCACCCTCATAACCACAAAACAGCAGCTTTCAACAGTTACGTTCACAGACTATTATCCATACCGTTGAGTAATGAAAACTATAGAAATGAAGTCGACACCTTAAAACACATAGCAGTAGCCAATGGTTACAACAGCTCGTTAATTGACAAATTGATAAGGAAGCACACACAACAACAAGACTAGACAAAGCAACGCAACCGATAACAAACAATATGTCAGCTCTGAATTTGGCACAGTCCTAAATACTACCCTAACTAAACAGATGTCCCGAAATAATATTACGATAGCCTACAAAACTTCCAATAAACTTTCCAACATCCTACAACAGACCAAGAACAATCCCCGTAGTAAAGTGAACACACCCGTATTTCGTGGCACAGGAATTTATAAAATCAAATGTGACAACTGCCCACATTTTTATATCGGACAAACTGCTTGTTCATTTAAAACCAGATTTAAAGAACACTTACCAACAAGAAACAACAAATCCACCCTCGTCAACCATCTCATTAACCACAACTATAACTACACTGACATAGAAACAAATTTGGAAGTCATGCATTTTTGCAACAACAAGAGGCGCATGGATACAATAGAAGAATTTGAAATCTATAGAGCAGCTAGAGAACATCCTGACCATATCTTGAATGAGCAGCTGTCATTCAAATTGATCGACCAATCAGCACAAGGGTCCTGATAAACAACAGGTGATGGGGAGGGAAGTGAATGTCTCCGATACCACCGTGACCACGCGCCAGTCATGACCTACACATTACCGGCGCCGCGTCGCGTGTTCGCGGCACTTGGCCAAGTGTTTGTAATAGTGTTTTTGTGTGAACTTCATGTACTGTATGTGTTTTTTGATGTGCTCAACCGCGGGCTAAATGAGTTGATTTTGTGTTTCTTCACTTTGAAGATGTGCTCATTGTAGCACGAAACAGCTGTTGTGTTTTACAACTACACAGGATCATTTTAGGCAAGGTAACATAAACCATATTCAACTATTTATGATCACAAAGTAACCGTACTGGCGGAATTTCATTCCGTAAGGCCCTTGTTAAATTTTCCAAAGATTATATGCATATTATGGCGATAATAGATTTTTTTTCCTGGTTATATCACAGGTCTAGAAC